GAATCTTACTGGTGTGTCTGTGTGTGTGTCTCTCACACACACACACACACACACACACACACACACACACACACACACACACACACACACACGGTGTGGAGCAGCCGCCAGCCCCTCCGTCGCAGTGTGTGGGGTGGAGCTCGCTCCTCTGCAGGCTGTCCCCAGAGGTAGGGTGAGGGCCAGGTGTGACGTGTGCTCGCTCCTCGCCTCGCACTGGCGCTCTGGTCCTGTGCAGAGCCAAGCCCCAGGCACAAGTCAGTCCCTGCCACACCCCAGTGACCGGCTAGGAGGGAGAGGGAGGCTCACGGTTTACCAGAAGCTGGCTCTGGACCCGCAGGGGGCTGCTGAGCTGTCCTTCCCTGTCACTCGTCTGCCACCAGCCTTTCTTCGTGCTGGTCTCCAAGGCCTTGCACAGCAATGTAGATCTGGATGGACCAAGATGCTTACAAGTGACGTCTCCCCCCTGCACCCAACCCAGGGGCCCTGAGGGTTGGGCAGGAGCGAGGCTGTGGTGAGGACTCGCCTTTCCTCCCTGGTCATGTGCGAGCGTGGTCCCAGGAAGGAGCCTGGCTGCCAGGCCACACCACGCCTTCCCCGGCTTGCGGGCCAGGTCCTCATGCCACAGCCCTGCCCTGGAAGGTGGTGAGGCCGGGTGCCCACGGTGGCTGGGCCACACCACAGCCCGCCCCGCTGAGGACCCGGCTCAGGACCGCAGGGGACCAGGGCTGAACCCATCTGGGTCACGTCTTTCTTCCGACACTCACGCTGCTCTCTTCCAGAGCAGTACAAGCTGCTGAGCGACCACATTGAGCAGATGGCCGCCGAATAGGAGACCGAGGGGGGCGCCGCTCTCCGGGCCAGCAGCTGGCCGCCACCCTTGGAGTGGCCCTGCATGTCACCGGCAGCGCCGGAGCCGCCCTTGCTGCCCAGAACTAGCGATTAGAAGACCCGCTGCCCGTCCTCCTTCTGCCCTCTGCCCGTGTCTGCACCCCCATCCGCGTGCCAGCGTCTCGAGACCCCCCGCCCCCAAGTGCCAGGCTTGTGAGATGAGCCCAAGAGGAGGGGAAGGCGGCCGCAGCCAGGGTGGGCCCAGGGCAGCCTCTGCACAGCGGCCCGCTGAGGGCAGAGTGGAGGCGTGGGCACAGAGGTAGGCCACCCCGCTGAGACGGCCAAGCAGGCACAGAGCAGCTTCAGGGTCAGTTGTGGCTGCTTGGCCTTCCTGTCTCCCTGTGTGTGATGGGGCTGGAGGTCACAGGAGCCCGGGGTACAGACACTTCTTGTCCTAGGGGCGGAAGGATGCAGGGCAGGGACAGTCTGCAGCGTGAGACCCGCCACCCTCGCAGGGCCGTGGGCGCCCTGTGCATCCCAGTCGCCGAGGAGCTTGCAGGGCCTGAGATGCAGAGAAAGTCGCGCCACACGGGGACGGCACCCATGAGGGCAGGGAGAGAGTCCTGTGGCCGCTGCAGAGGACGGCGCTGTGCCGGCTGGCGATAGCACGGCGCGCCCTGGCCTCCCTCTCCAGGTGCCGGACCCGCAGCCCGCTCTGTCTCTTCCCACAGACCTCACAGATGCAGCCTTTGTCCTGACCCAGGCCTGGACTGCGACCCCGCCACGCCCTGCCCAGCCCTTGGAAGGGTCTCAGCCATGCTTCCCTCCCTGCCCCTCAAGTACACATTAAACCCTGCACCCCACTGTCCTCTAGGGAGCGCCTCCCCAATCGGCGCAGAGCAGGGCTTGCGGCTGAGCCCTGGAGCATTTGTGTCCCCACGATGGCCGCAGAGGGGGTGGCAGTGGGGGTTCGCAGCGGGTGGCTTGGTGTGTGCGTCACGTCAGCCAGTCTCAGTCCCCTGCGCCCTCTGGGCCTCTGGGTCTCAGCTGAGTCTGGCCCTCTGCTAAATCCAGTCAAATCAAGGGTACAGGCTTCAATCTCTCTAGTGCCACCTTCTGGACATCTGCTCCCTGGAGTGAGGGCGCCAGGCCCCGAGGGCAGGCAAGAGGTCTTTCCCACTCCTGGGTGTTCCTGGAAGCGCACAAAGACCTTGCCCAGGGGCCAGGGGTTTAGTTCAGTGGTGCGGCTGCTGCCTGCCTTGCCTTGATCCCCAGTACCAAAAAAAAGAGGAAAGCCCTTGCCCCAGGTGGTCAGGATGTGGCCTTGTGTGGTGGTTCTCCAGGGTCTGCTTTCTGGGGAGACGGCACCGGTGGAGACGCTGGAAGCCAGCACAGCCTTGGGCAGGAGCGCGTCTGGCTCCTGGCTTTCCAGGCCCTTGGCCTTCAGGAGTGCCCTTGACCTCTCCAGGCGGCACCTTGAGGAGGAGGAAGGGACGCTGTGTCTTTCCTGGCTCCTGCCCAGCTGGGGTCAGTCTGACTCCGAGAAGTGCGACCTGCAGTGGGCACTGCCAAATGGGGGCTTGCAGGGCTTGTCCTTAGCAGGGCTCTTTGTGCAGCATGGCTCTGTGTTTTCACCATTGTTGGCGATTTGGGGGTTCCCTAGGCGCCACATTTATCCCCCAAATGTACCTGCTGTGTGTGCACACCACCATCCCAGCCACACACAGGAGAATGGGGTTCTGGCATCTCAGGGGACCTGTGCAGTGACAAGTGCAGACTGCGATTTTCCTGTTGCCTAAAGAGCAGCTGCAGAGCTCGGAGTGACCAGAGGGGAGCAGAGGAAGGGTAGTGTGGAGAACCAGCATGCGTTAGCACGGCAGGGCTCAGGTTCGTCCCAAAACGTAGGCTGCATTTAGAACCAGCACCGCCAGAGCCCCGAGTGAGGGCAGAACGGGGCCCGGCTGGCGCCCACTTCCACAGCGTGGTCGGGGCACAGCGCTCTCACATCGCGGGGCTGCTGCTGTGAGGCCAGCGCCCCTGTGGGTCCGGGTGTGGAAGGGGCGTCTGTGACCTGGCCATGGAGGCCGAGCAGGGAGGGACAGAAGGGTCATTTCCACATTGTCCATGGCGCCATCCTCCACCCGCGTCTCTGGGCCCACGGGCCACCTGCTCCCAGGAGGGCAGAAGAATCCCAGGGCCTCCGAGGGCCGGGCCACATCCGGGCCAGTGAGGGCTGCCTGGTTCTGGGAAGCGGGATGAGGGCAGAGAGGCCTGGCTGTGCCCATGGGACGGGATGTCGGCAAGCGGCTCCCGAGGGGCTGCTGGGCCACCTGATCGACAGCCCCAGGCTCCCCCCGAGCAAAGCCCCTCGCTCTCCCTCCCGAGTCCTGGCGGGGACCCTGCACGGTGACCAGAGGGGCTCCCGTCCCGACCCCTTCCCATGACCCAGGACGGGGCGGCCCCTCTCTGCCCTGGGCCGGAAGGATGTGCTCACGGGATAGACATGGGGACGGTGCTGGGACAGGGCAGGGCCTCTCGGCAGTGTGTCCAGGTCCCTGCCGGGAGGGCGCAGTGGAGCCTGGGGCTGTCACCTCCAGTGGCCCGGTCCCAGCCCCTGAGGACGCAGTTGGCTGGCAATCCCCGTGACGCACGGCACCTTCCCGTGCTGACTTCTGTCTCTGTCTCTGTCCCCCACATGGTCTGGGACCCGCCCTTGCCTCTGGCCTTTGGTCCTCTGTGGTCGCCCCTGTGGTACCAGCATCTCATTGTCACTGTTATGCAATCCTGCAAGAGTCCCTCGGGGTGATGTTCTAAAGTGATATTTTAAGGCCGAGAAAGTTCCCAGGTTGGAGTTGGCAAAGCAGTGCTGACATCAAAGTTGTTTCTTGTGAAGAAGAAAAATATGTGTGTGTGTATATATATATTGCACCTTGGGTGGTCAGAAAGTGGAAACTGAAATAAATTATCTTTTAGAAGAAAACTCTGGTATCTCTTGTCTTGGCACGGCCCGAGGACGTTTCTCGGAGTCTGCAGCCTCTCGGGTCTCCAGCGGCTGCTCAGAGGGAACCAGGGATGCCTGTCTTCGGGGTGGGACCATAGAGGCCCTGGGCCAGACCTAAGCTACAGGGGACAGCTCATCCTGTCCCTTTGAACCGACGCCGCCTACCTCGGGTTGGGGTGGAAGGGCAGCCCCGAGAGGTAGAGCTCCCACCTCCCAGGCAGGACGGACACCTTGATCCAGCTTGGCTCCACAGACCACTTCTGATCTTGTGCTCCCTTCCTCCCTGGCTCCGGGTCCTACCACGTCGGAAGCCGCCTTCCAGTGGCCAAGCAGGAAGGCTGGGGAGAGGCTGACCCTAGAGCGCTCCGGAGCCTGGTCCCTGCCACGGGGTGGGAGTGGGGCAGGCTGTGTCCTGGGGCTCCCTGTGCCCGTGCTGAGCCAAGTGTGGGGGCCTGGCCTGGGGCACGCCAGCCCTGGGGTGTGGGGTCTGGAGTTCCCTTGGTGCTAGGAAGTAGGGGGATCCTGCCACATGCTAGAGGGCAACTGCTGGGCTCAGAGCCCACTCTGGTGGGGGGCGCCTGGACAGGGCTGCAGAGGCCCCAGAGAGCTGGCCAGGGCCTGGAAAGGCAGTGTGTCTCAGCTCCCTGCCAGCCCACCGTGCGCCTCTGCCCACACAGAGCTTTCTGCCCCGAGCCCCTTGGGTCCCTGCTGAGCGCCTTCCAGCAGGGGCCACCAGCTCCACCCAGGGCCGCCAGCACCCCAGCCCTGTGCAGCAACCCCTCTGCTGAAAAGGACAACAGTCCCACTCAGGACTCCACGGCAGTCACGGAGATTCCCCACAGACTGCTCCAGGGGGCGCCCGAGGTCGGGCTTTGGGGATTGGGATGAAAAGCAGGAGGACTCGAGGCAGGAGGGTCTCTGCCCGGTGCCCAACGGCTCCCTGCCACCTCGGGCTGAAGAGAGCCTGGACTTTGTTGGTCCTACAGTGGTCCCACGAGGAGGACTGGGACCTCCCCTCTGCTGGTGGGGAAACCCCGGTGCCCAGTGGGGGAACCAAATCCAGGGCCTCCAGCTTGAGGGCAGTGAGCACCCATGGGCCAGCAGAGGGCCACAGATGGACAGTCCCCAGCGAGGTCTGGACCGTGGGGCAGGGGTGCGGGGGACTCCCCGATCTCCAGCACCAGGGCCCCTCCACAGTCCCTGTGGCCCGAGCAGGCATCGGGGGTTTCTTTCCCAGGGCCCCATTGTTGGGGGGAAGCTCCGCCCCCTCTGCTGTGAGCTTGAGACCTGCCATGGGACGCGGGCCTGGGTGCCGCGGGGGACAAGGGGAGTGCACCCGTGGTCCTGGCTGTCACACCCCCAGGCTGTGTGGTCCCAGTTCAGGGAGGAGCGGGGTCCCCGGGTGCTGGGAGAGTCACAGACCTGCTTCCGGGCTGCAGGCCTGGAGGTTGCGCCCCAGCCCTCCCTTTCCTGTCCCCCCAGGGACTTCTGGGATCCTCCGGGTGCCGGGTCACCCTCAGGCATCGTGTGTGTCTCGGTCTGAACTGTGTCCCCTGAATTCCTGTGCTGAAGTCCTAAGCCTCAGCAGTGCACGGTCCAGAAATGGGGCTCGAAGATGTGGTCAGTGTGGACGAGGCCACCCTAATGCTGCATGCAGCGTCCTCCCTGGAGGGGATGTGTAGCCGCAGACTTGAGTGTGCCCGAGGAGATGGCACATGGAGGAGAAGGCAGACACCACGCCAGTGCCCACAGATGCCGCCCGGCACCCCAGCTCTGAAGGGACCTCCTCCACGACCCCCAGGTCCTGCACCCCTGGCCTCCAGAGTGGGAGGCCCCACATTTTCCTGTTTAAGCCCCAGCTCCTAGTGCTTGGTCACGGCAGCCCCAGGAAGCCAGCCCGCCATGCTGTCGCCAGAACACAAGAGAAACCACACGTCCCTCGTAAGGAGGGGAAGGAAGCAGAGCAGGACCTCGAAGAGTCACACGGGGTTTACTGCACCAGGCACCCACAGTGCAGATGGGGAAACTGGCTCTGAGAGTCCACGCGCCCCAGGCATGCACAGAGCCCCGAGACCAGGGCCTGCCCAGCTCCTCCACCTGTGGCCCAGAGTTGCTTCCTAGTTCCGGGGTCCCTGCTCCTGTCCCCGGAGGGCCTCCAGAGGCGTCTCCTCTGCTGAGTCCTCACCACTGGCCTCTTCTCTGCTCTGGCTCCCTAGGGTGCTCCGTGCACTCTGGATGATGATGATAATAACAATAATAATAATAATAATAATAATAATAATAATAATATCACCACACAAGCCTCCCTCATTCTGCATGGCGGGGGGTCAGTTCCCTCCAACTCCTCACACACTGCCCATCGCTCCCTGCTGCGCGTGGGGTTCCTGTGTCTTCAGCCACCTTGCAAATGGGGTCCAGGAGGCCCAGAGAGGCTGAGACACTGTCCCAGAAGCCCACAGCCAGGGCAGCAGGTTTGGACCCAGCCAGCCTGACCTGGGAGCTCTGCTTCCTCCTCGGCCTTCGGAGGACATCTGGGGGGCGGTGACACCCACCCACAGGGCCTGGCTCCGGGCCGCTCCCTGGGCCTCCTTTCCCTGACCTGCTTACTCTGAGCCTCCCCAGCACATGCTGGTGCCCGACGCCAGGCCTCAAGGGGCCCCAGCGTGAGGAGTTCCGGGCCACCTGGCTGCCCTCCCGCACCCAAGAGCATCTGGCTGTGGAGGTCATGTGGGTGGGCAGGGGCCTCTCAGAGCTTCCAGGGAGGGGTGCCTGGGTCCCCTCCAGGGCAGAGTCCCGGGCGCCCACCACCTGCAATCTCAGGAGCGCCACCCACTGAACCCTCCTCCCCATATCTCGGGCCCAGCTCCCACCACACCCCAGAGCTCACCTGGCTGGCGGGGAGCCCCAGGACGGCATCTGTGAGCGGCCGAGCCTCGCAATGCCCAGAAATTCCCCAAGCCTTGGCCTGAAGGTCCTGCCCAGGAGAGACCAGGGTGGGCTGCATTCAGTGGGCGCAGGAGGGCGTGGGCTGGGAAGGAAGGATGGGGACACAAAGGCCCGAAGACAGTAACACCCGAGAGCCCACAGTCCTGCCTGGCGCCTCCTGCTGGTCACACTGTGGAATCCACAGGCTCCAGGAGTGGGGAACACTGAGACCCAGAGAGCCAGGCAGCATCCGTAGGTGCACAGGAAGCTGCCCAAAGGGATATGGTCAACAGCTGGGTGCAGCTCAGGGTAGAGCCCTCGCCTGCACACGTGAGGCCCAGGGCCCCACTCCCAGCACCACGGACAAACAGACAAATGCTGTGTTAGCGAGGAGTGCCTGCCGGGAGCCGGGGTATCCTCTAGCCTGTGCAATGGTTCTCAAGCTTAGGGTTCCACAGGCAGCTGGAAAGGCTCCCCGCCCTTGAATGCCCGCCCGCCCGCCCAGCTGCACTCAGAGGCAACCGCCAGTCTGTGGGGAAGGCCAGGCTGCACGGCAAGACCAAGGCAGGGCTCAGGCTGTAGCCACTCTAGGGCCCAGGGGGACCCCACGCAGCTCGACACTCTGCCGTCCCCCAGAGGGCGCCATGTTCACATCTGCCCCGTCTCGGGTCCCCAACCTGGACAGAAGGGAGGAACACAGACCCCGCCACCACCAGGAGCCAGCGGGGCGCGCCCACCTGCAGGTCTTGCTCCGGGTCGTAGCTGCCCAGGGTCCGGCAGGCACTGGAGTACACCTCCACAGCCTTGGTGTGGAACACCATCTCAATGGTCACGAAGTCGAGCAGGATCCTCTGGGGGGTGGGGAGGAGTCACCCAGAGGTGGCTGTCCTTGGCAGACAGGTCCTGGCTGGGGATTTTGTGTGTGTGGTACTGGGGCTAGATCTCAGGGCCTTCAGAATGAGCTCCATCCCAGCCCCTTTTTCAATTTTTTATTTTGAGACAAAGTCTCACTAAATCACTAAGCTGCCCAGTCTGGGTTCAAGTTTGAGATCCTCTTGCCTCAGCCTCCCAGAGGACTGAGATTATAGCCGTGTGCCACCATGCCCAGCCCTGGATGAGGAATTTTAATGTTAGTTTTGGTTTATTTGTCCTTGAATCCTATAATGCACATCATGGTTCAGAGGCAAAACTGGCCAAGCACTCATGGAGGTCACCTGCACCCACCCTGCCGCCTCCTCCCCTGACCTCCACCTGCTGGAGACCCCACTTCCTTCTGGATATGCGCGCTCCCTCCCCTCAGCGCTCTGCTCCTGCTCCTGCAACCCTCCACCCCCAGCTTGGTTCACTGCTGTTTGCTTCCGTCCACACGTGTCCGTGCGTGGACACGCTGCTGGATGTGACTGGGCCCAGCACTGGGACACTCAGTCCGCAGGTCCCTGCACACCCGCTGTGGGGCGACTCCCTCACAGTGCAAGGTTTCTGTGCCCCAGGCAGGGACCGACGTCCAGGCAGAGCTGAGAGCCAGCACTGGCCAGCTTCCTGAGGCCTCCACGCTGCTGTGCCAGCCCAGGTGCCCCCACTCAGCCAGCCATGTGTGCAGCCTCCGTCCTGGGGGGGAGGGCCCACAGGTGGACACAGCCCATCGGGCTGCTCCGTGCACAGCGGCACGGGACGCACACAGGCTTAGTGCTGGGAGGAGCCCACGGTGGACCACACCGTGTTTAGTGGAGAGGAAGTGCCCTGGCCTGGAGAGGAGGGAAACGCCCAACTTCCCACACCGCCTGCCTGGGAGCAGCAGAATCCACAGCGTGGAAGTCTTGTCTGGAGACAGCGCCCCCCTCTGCCTCAGTTTACCTCTCTGCACGGTGAGGACAACAGTTTTCACAGAGTGTTTAGGACCTGGTCAGAGCCCCTTGCCTCAGCCTCTGTTGGGTCTGCTGGACCCACAAACTCTGACTCCACATGGCTGCTGGCTCCAAGCTCCCGGGCTCTGCGAGGTGCCGGGAGCTGCTGGGTAAGTGTGGTCCCCTCGTGGGCCTTGCACTCCAGCCAAGATGGTGCGACAGGAACGCCAACAGCTTCTTGCTTCCTTCCGCCTCCTCCCAGTCTGGAGGCTCCTGGGGTGGCGCGGCCTGGTCTGTGTGTGTGCTCCCGCTGGGCGCCGGCGGTGCACCTGGGGCCACTGTGTCCCACACACCGGTGATGAATAACGGCTGCCGAGGCCCGCGGCCCTGCCCCACACCCACAGCAGGGCGCTGAGGACCACGATCTGCCTGCTGCGTCCTCCTTGTCTGCTCCACTTGTTCCCTGCCGGCCCATAGAGCACCCGGCCGGGCCATGATGTGCGGAGACCCACGCTGCCCGCTGTGAAGGCGCCAGCTCCAGGGTCACCCAGGTCCCGGGCCCAGCACATAGTAGGTACCCGTCCTACACCAGTGACTTGAAGGAGCACAGGAAATGTGTGGCTCCTCAGTCTGTGGGGACAGCTGCCAAAGAGGGAGCAGGGCAGAGGCATGGACCAAGGCCTGAAAGAACAAGGCTGGTGCATCTGGGGTGAGGGGTCAACTCCTCAGGAGGAGAGCAGAGACTTCCGGCAGAGCACCCAGCCGTGCAAAAGCCCCGGGGTAGCACAGGTGGAGCTGCAGCGTGGCTGCAAGGTAAGGCTGAGGTGGGGCTCCCAAGGCCTTCGGGAGGAATTTATTCCCTGCCTTTGGAACAAGGTAAGTGTGCAGGGTGCTAAGCCCAGGGCGTCCTGGGGCTGCAGTCTGGAAAGTGCACAGGGGCAGGAGGAGAGTGGAGAGCAGGGGCCTCCGAGGTTGACTCTTCTTGGGGGATCTGAGTCCCCAGGACCTTCTCACAAGGGCAGTGGCTCTGGGGGGCCGCCCAGGCGCAGGAGGTGTTGGGTGGAGCTAGGAGGGCGCCCCTCTGGCCCACGCACCGCGGTGCAGTTCCTTCCCGCGACAGGGGAGGGGTGGCCTGCTCTGCGGCTGTCTCCTGCTTGGGGCTGGGCGGGGACGGTGGCCCTGAGGGGACACCTGGGCCGCCCTGCCGCCAGGGGGCGCTGTCCCGGGACCGGCTCCACACCTGCACACACCCTCCACGCAGACCCCACACGCACACTCATGCGCACACCCTCCCATGAGGTGTGTGCACGCCTGCGTACACCTCGCACGCTCACTCACACACATGTCTGCATGCCCTCAAGATGTGTGAACACACCCTCACTTGCGTGCGCACCTCTGCACACAGGGCGCCGATAGCCCCTACCTGGAGGTCCTCCAGCTTCCGCCGCTGGAAGGCGTCCACTGTGTCCTCCAGCTGCCGGGTGGTGCGGCTGGCGTCCACCGAGGCCCTCTGCACTCTGCTCTCTGCCTGGCCCGGGACGCAGGGGCAGAAGTGTCACGGGGATCCAGGCCCGGCACCATTCAGGATGTAGCAGCCTGTTCTCGGCCAGCTCCCCTGCCCCAGGGGTCCCGCGCCAGTGCGGCAGTTGGAGGAAGGCCACAGAGGACCGTGGCCAAAGGGTCGCTCACTGGAGTTGCAAGGACCTGCTGGCGAGCTGTGTGACCGGGGCAAGTCACGTAACCTCTGTGAGCCTCCAGCTCCTCGTGTAGAGGCGGGAGCTGGTCCTAAGAACTGCCCTGGGGTTGCTGTACGGTCCCCAGCGACCACTCAGCTGTTAGGGTCCGGGCTCCGCGGGGAACTGCGTTGGACACGCATGGGTCGCTAGCTCGTCCATTCCTTCGCTCACTGTCCACAAGGCCTGCTCTGTGCCCAGCCTGTGTGACCTTGAGGCGTCCCCCACTTCTCTAGAGTGGGACACTGGACGCTCCTGGCCTGTGCCCCAAGGATGTCGGCAGCCCCTGGCCTCCACCTACAGATGCCACGTGGTCAGGGCCACGATGGCCCCCAAATGTCCATATCTCCACCCCACACCAGATCGGTGTCCCCTCATGTGCGGAAGCGCACTGAGGGTGCTGACCCAGCGGGCCGTGAGTGGGGGGCTGTCCTGGATCCCCAGGGGCAGCAGGGGGAGTGGCGGCGGAGGCTGGGACTGTGGGCTGGGGACTTGCTGGGGACGGGAGGGCCGCCAGCCCAGGGACACACAGCAGAGGTTATGGAGCTCCAAAGGGCAGAGGTGACGGGCCAGCCACCAGGCAGGACGGTCGGGGACAGTGAGCCATGCCCTCTGCCCGGCTGGGCCCCTCCACCCACCCCGGGGCTCTCTGGCCCATGAGTGCCCACCTCGGTGACCGCAAGATGGGCAACCTTGCGAGGAAACCGAGCCGGAATGGGAGTGGCTTGCTGGACCTGCCGGGTCCCGGGCCCCATGACCACCTCCCTGCACGTGCAGCTGGCACCTGGCACCTGGCCTCACCAGGACTCACTCCTCACCTGCCTCACCCAGGACTCACCTGGGACTCACCTGGGACTCACCTGGGACTGGGAATGCAGTTAAGGAGCCAGGGAGGTCCGGGCAGCCCGGTTGGTGGCCCACAGCCCAGCAGGACCCTGTCCCACCCAGCAGGCCCAGTCCCACCCAGTGGGCCCTGGGCCCAGCTAACTCCAGCCAAGCCCTTCTCAGCATGGTTTCCAGAAAAGGATACAATCATCTGCCCATCTGAGGGTGACTTCTGCCTCAGTTTCTCCAGCTTTTCCAGTTGTTTGATCTCATTCTTTTGGACTCGCTTGAACTTCTTGATCTCAGCCTGAGCAGAGAAGTACAGAGGTCTGTTTCCCGGGCTCTCCCAGCCAACCCTGCCTCCGGCCCAGGCACCCTGCTCACCCGGGTCTGCTTGGTCTGGGTGCCATACAGCTTCAGGGGGTCGACGACCTTGGCCTCCAGCCTCTGGACCTTTAGGCAGGAGGGGCAGCACAGGGTCAGAGTGCAGTGGATGCCGCCCTCTCCACGCACACCTGCTCGGGAGCAGCAGGGCTGGGGAAGGAAGTGGCCTCCCTGTCCCCTGGGGCCGGCAGCCTGGACAGAGCTGGGGCAGCATTTACTCTCCTAGGCCTCCTGCCCTTGCGGGAGATGTGAGATCATGAGAGCCAGGCAGGGGAGGCACACCTGTAACCCCAGCACTCTGGGAGACGGAGACAAGAGGATCGCAAGTTTGAGGCCGGCCTGGCAACTTAGACCCTGGGAGCTGTGGGTGCAGTTCGGTGGTGAGCAGCTGCCTAGCGTTCCGAGGCCCTGGGCTCCACCCCAGACCACAGATGAAATAGGATATTGACCCACGCCAGGCCTCGCGTCAGGGCAGGGGGCACAGGGTGCCCTGGGGAGACAGGGGCTGGGAGGGAACTGTGGCTGTCAGGCCCAGCCATGCCGCTGTCCTCTCCTCCCTGCCGTGGGGTGGGACCTGCACTGGGGGTCTGGCCCCAGATGGGGCTGTGTGCAGACGGCCTCCACACCTTGCTCCCCACGCTACCTCGGGGTCCCTGGCCCTGGTAGGAAGGCGCTGTGGCAGGGGGGGCTGGCTGTGAAGCACAGAGCAGGGCTGGCGAGGGGTGCGGAGGGAAAGCAGGGCTCACCTGGGCCACCCACAGTCTCCTGGGGCTTCCAGCTGGCAGCTGGGGGGGGAGCAGCAGGGCCATGCCAGGCGCCCTGGGGACAGTGGGGCGGGGCTGCCTGGTGTTGCCACGGTGGGCACCAGCAACCCCCAGGGCGCCACCCCAGCGTGTGACTGGGGGGCCAGGCAGCGTGGGCTCTGCACCGTCACCTGTCCCTGGGTCTGGGGGGGCGCAGGAAGGCCAGTGACATCCTTCGAGCTGGCTGGGAAGGAGCCGGGTCCCTGCCTAGCCCGTCAGCTCTGCAGGCTGCTGACCCTTGACCAGGTACAGTGGGGAATGCTTTCCCCGGGGCCGGAGGGAGAGGGCCGCCTTGTTCCTCGCCGCTGTGAGCCCTTTCCCTGAGCCTGGGTGGCCGTGGCCTTTCACTTCTACCATGACGTCCTCTGACAGGCCCGGGACCACGGGAACCACAGGAGATGGGGCCAGGCCAGGCCGGGCTGCGGGAGCGGCCACTGTGTGCGCGTGCGGCCCAGGAACAGGCAAGGCAGGCACTGCCGTCCTTTGGCACAGGGCGCCCAGTTGTCAGATGAGACCAGGGTGCTGCCTCCTCCTCCTCGCTGCATCCCTCCCTCTCTCTTTCCTTTGGATGAACACTCGCCCCTGCACTGCACCCCAGCCCTTTGATGTTCTGCTTTGAAACAAGGTTTCACTAAGTTTCCCAGGCTGGGCTCCAACTTTCCATCCTTGCAACCCTCCTGCCTCAGCCTCCCAGAGTGCCGGGTTCCAGACCTCTGTCACCATGAGTGTCACTACGGCGTCTTCTGTGGGGCCGTCAGCATCTGCCCTGAGAACATCTGGGAGGTGTGTGTCTGCCAGGCGGCAGGAACCCGAAGCTTTCTGCTCTCCTCAACCCCTCTGCCACGTGGCCTGTGACACGTCTGCCACGTGGCTTACACCTGGTGTCAGCCTCCCCTCCTCTCCGCGCCCCCAGAGCTCTGCTTGTTTCCCGACAGCTACCAGCCTCCACAGGGCTCCTGTCCCTTCCCCGGGGCCTGTGTGTCCTAGGCTTTGCTGTGGAGCCCCTGGGCCTGACTCTGGGCCCCGCCCTCATCTGGCTCAGGAAAGCCCTGGCTGTCAGTCCTGACCTGAGCGTCCCCGCCCTTGGGGTCTCCGTGGGACAGGTGCTGCTGGTGACCCGTCCCCGCTCACCAGGGCCTGCCGGTAGTCCTGCACTTTGGCCAGGTCCTCAGCCAAGTCCCGCAGGGTGGCCCGCATCTCGGGGGCCTCGGAGCTGGCGGAGGCGATCAGCTGCTTGACCAGTCGGTCCCCCGTGTCCCGCAGCCGGGCCGTCTTGCGTGTGTGGGCGGCCAGCAGTGAGCAGAGCTGCCCAACGTGCTTCTCGGCGGCCAGCACTGCCGACTCCATCGCGTGCACCTGGCCTTCCCTGCAGAGCGGGGAGGGCGGGATGCACAGGGACATGGGACACAGGGCGGCGGCTGAGGGGCCCTCTGCAGCGTCCCACGTGCTGTCCGCACATCCCCTGTGTCCTCCCTGCCCCCAGGAAACCCTCCCTCCTCTGAACCCTGAAGTTTTTTAAAACGCGAAGCAGCTTCTGGGGGCACTGGTGTTTGGGTGGCCCAGGAGTGGGAGGTAGAGTCGCCCACGCCCCCGCTGCTCCCTAGACTCCTGGTGTCCACACGGCTGGGCCCAGAGTCCGGGGAGCACAGACAGCGGTCGCCCTGGTGTCCCATGTGCTGTGTGGGCTTCGTGCGCTGTGTCCGTCGCAGGCTCGAGGGTCGGTCACCGCCTCACGTGCCCTGGCCCTGCCGGTCCCCTCCCCGGCCGGCCCTGGGCTTCAAGTCCGTGCCCTGGCCTGGCCCTGCCGCCTCCTGTCATGCTTGGTCTTTCCCGGCCCTGGACGTGTGGGTGGGGCGTCCGCCTGTCCACACCGCAGGGCGTCCAGCCAGCCGTGTGCCGGACGCAGTCTCCCGCTGGCCCCCCGCGCCCTCCTCCCCAGCCTGGTCCCCGCCTCCCCGCCCCTCTCTGACCTGTGGCCCGGGAGCTGGCGCTGCACCTCCTTCCCCTCCCACGAGGCCCAAGCCCCTTGCCATGGGCAGCATGGGTCCCCTTGTTCCCAGGCTGCGGTGGGGCTGGCAGTGGGCGGGCACCGCTCACAGAGGGGCGAGGCTGGGGGCAGTGAGGGCCGGAAGAAGGCCGGCAGCCTGGTGGTCGGAGCCCTGTGCCCCCTCTCCTGCTTTCCTCCCTGGGGCTCCGGCCCAACCCGGCTCCCTCCTCCCTGCTGCCGCTGCTGCTCACCTGGAGAGGACGACGTTCATTGTGACCTTGGCACTGGCTGTCCTGGCCTTGGGATAAGGAGGGGACCCCAGGGGGCCAGGGCGTGCGCCCGAGGGACGCTGCTGCAGGGTCGCCAGGCAACGTGGCCGCTGGGCCGCCTGGGAGGAGCCGAGCTGGTCGCTGGGCAACCCCAGCCTGGCAGGGAGGGGTCGGGAGGCGACAGGCGGCTGTGGGTGAGCAGGTGGGTCCCCAGGAAGCGGGGCAGGCGCCGCAGAGACAGGCTCCGGGTGGCTCGCTGGGCTCCACCAGGCTTCTCTGCACTTGGGGCCTGTGTGAGGGGCTCCTTCCTTCCCACCAGCCCTGAGTCCGGCTAGGTTGGTGGGGCTCAGGAAGGGGTGGGGTGCTGGCTCTCCCACAGGGGTGAAGAGACCCGGGAGGCCCAGCTCAGAGACACACCATCCACATGGAGCCACGCTCTCCTGGGCTTACCTCAGGTCTGCTCCCTGGTGCACAGGTGTGGTCCCAATGACTCAGGAGGCTGAGGCAGGAGAAGCACTTTGCCAGGGAGACCAGCCCAGACAATGTGGTGAGAATCTATCTCCAGAAATTGTAAGCAACGGGAGCACAAGAGGAAAACATGGAACCACATATGACATTGTGCTAACTGAAGGGCACAACACACGTCACTAATTGTGAGGGTTGTGCATTCCGTGTGTGTGCATTGCACTTACAGAAAGGAAAAACGGAGACAAGAGAATGGGGCGGAGGCACAGGTGAAATCTGCAGGGTGTACAGCTCCTTCGACCACCGGTGCAAATGGTGGCAGGTTTAATCATGGAGGGGTTTAATTTTTATTATTTTTTGCAGTATTGGGGGTGGGTCCCAGGGCTTTTGCATTGAGCTACACCCTAAGCCCCATCCATTGCTTAATTTAGAGACGCAGTCTAAGTTGCCTGGAGTGCCTCGGGACAGGCCCTGTGAGGAGAGGCCTTAGGGTGGCTGCACATGGGCCCCCATCCAGGCCGGAGCTGTGTGACCTGCAACCCATCGTCTGACCTCTCTGTGCACTCCCAAGCCCTCCCCAGCTGGCCTGGGACCTCGCCTGCCCCCACCTGCCCCCTGATGCCCACACATCCTGGGGCAGCCACCAGCCTGGCCACCTAGTGTGACCCAGATGGGGGGACAGTGTCACCAAATGCACCCGGATCTCTGCCATGACCTTGTTTGGAAATCGGGTCTTTGCAGCTGTCCTTAGCTGGGCTGAGTCATCGAAGCAGTCCTTGGCAGGGACAGCAGGGACACCAGCAGCAGCCACGTAACCACAGGGCAGCACAACGGCTGCAGCCACCAAGGCTGGGAGGGAAGGAGCCGCCAGGGCCTGCAGGGGCCCCAGAATTTAGAATCCATTTCTGTTTTGTTTTTATGTGGTACTGGTCTTTCACACTGAGATACATTCCTAGCTCTGTTGGGTTTTTTGTTGTTGTTGGTTTTTTTTTTTAATATTTGACTTTTTATTTACAAAGCTAGCAATTTTAGCCCAGGGATGTAGTTCAGTGGCACCATGCCTGTCTGGCAAGCGCAAGGTCCTGAGTTCGATTCCTGGTACTGGAAAAAACCCCCGAAAAATAGCGATTTTAGTCAGTTTAATATAACTTATACAGGAACAAACTCTTATGAAAGAGAATTAGGAAGAGAATATTTTTAGATTGTTTTCTTTTCAACTGGCATTAAAATAGTATTATATTTTTGAAGTAGTAAAATCAAGAACTTGCTGCATCTGCTATATTTTTATTTTTTATTTATTCATTTTAAATTTTTCATTTTTATTTGTCTGTGTTTGCAGTTCATCGTGAGCACATTCATCATGGGGAGTTGGAGCATGGACAGCATGCATCTTAATGCTTTGCACTGAGCTGTATCTGCAGCCCTGTTTAACAATGTTTTTAAAATTTTTATTTGGGGACAGGATCTCACTAAATCACTAAGTTGCCCAGGCTGGTCTCAAACTGGTGATCCTCCTGCCTCAGCCTCCCAGAGTGCTGTGCCACCACGTCCCGCATTTCTGTTAAGCTCCCACTTTGAGGTCATTCTGTGACAGCAGACACGGGACACTCATCTAGGGCCTGCGCCCGGCCCCGGGGTGACCACCCAGCGCACCCGCCTGCCTCCCCGCCTGTCCCTGTCCCAGTCCCTGTCCTGTCCTCAGTGCTGTGGATGCCTTAGTACAAGGCCATCTGATCCACGGCCCCTCCTTCACGCAGCTGCTGGGCCGGGTGTTGCCAGGACAGTGGGAAGCAGAGAGCCTGCGCTGCCACGGAGGGCCACGGGAGGGCGGCAGAGAACCCACAGAGCGGCGCCGGCCGGGAGGGGACGGGGCGGCTCAGACCCCTCCGCTGCACCACGCGGCCCTCTGGCGGCCAGCGCGGGGAGAGCAGGGGGCCCTGCTGCTGCTCTGTCCCTTGTGGTCCAGTCCGGGTGACCTTAAGAGTCTTGATTTTTCCCTACCAGGGATTGAGCCCAGGGCCCCTCGCTGAGCTCTTCTCCCAGACCTGTTTATCCTACTTTGTACAGTTTTGAGACAGGGTCTGGCCAAGTTGCCCAGGCTGGCCTCCAACTCGCAGCAATCCTCCCGATTCAGCCTCCTGAGTGCTGATGGCACTGCGCCACCTGGACAGGTTAAAATTCACTTCTTACAAAGCTCTCCCCCTAATTATAGAAAATCTAGAGACACAGATGTAAAAGGCCGGGGAAGTCAGTCTGAGTCTCACTTCCGGAGACTCCCATCAGGAACGCGTGGGTGCAGCTGCTCATAATCTTCTTGGTTAATAACTTGCAAGGTTCCACAATCTCTGTAATCACAAGGGTTTCTGTGTTCTTTCTTATAAACTGTTAGCGTAATTCTTGTTATTTTGCCCACCTCCTCATTAAGAAAGTCTTCAAATCACACAAAAGGGAGAAAAACAGGAGCACACCATCCATACACACATTCACCTCCAGACTCGATGTGTGTTGGTGCCCACCATAGTCACCAAGCCCTATTTTCACAGCTGTATGCTCTTCCTTCAGTTACATGTGTTTGGACATGGTGCACTACAGAAGGAATATGTATTAAGTGCCTGTGGAGTGCACAGCCATACTATAGGGACCGAGGCCACACCAGGGAACCAATAAGAAACCAGCTCCCTGGTTGCCATGAGAACGCTCTAGGAAGGTCAGGAAATGCAGGGAATCGTGGCCAGGAGAGTGATATACCTCAGGGCCACACGGGGCTCAGGTGCTTGGAGCGGGGAGGCTTGCAGAGACCCCAACACCTGCGGGTCATTTCCTCTGTCGGGCGAGGCCTGGGGTCCCGGAACCAGCTCCCTGGCCCCGCGGGATGGAGGCTGCCCCTGTTAGCATCTCCACGGTGCAGAGAGAGCAGGAGGGCACGTGATAGAGACCCCAAAACGCACCCTGCACGCATCTCCGGAATGTCCAGATCTCCGTGAATCCGGGCCGCAAGCGCAGTCTCGCTCTGCCCGGGAAGACCCTCCTTCAGCACCTCTGCTTCCACACTGCGGGCTGAGGACGCAAACTCGAGCCAGTTCTGCGTCATTCCCGGGACTGGACATTCTGGCCGCGAGGCTCCGCGGGCTGGGGATGTGGGGTGCAGGGCAGCTGGTCTCCCTCGCTCACACCATCCTCTTTAAGCTTTTCAGGCCTTGGAAGCCAACAGCTGTGTTCCCATTGCAGATTTCTGGCCAAGGCGGCTGGGCCCTGTGCTATCCAGAAGGTGCTGAACAGGCAGCAGTTGGAAGCGGCTGGGAGATCGGGAACAGCTGCACATTTGCCTCTCCCGAGGCCTCCGCTGTCCTGATCCTCTGCCCTCCAGGCCAGGAGCCTCAGTTCAACTGCACAGCTTTCTGAGGAAAGGCACAGGAGGAGAATGGATGGTACGGTTGGGTAGGTTCACTGTGTCAGTACAAAGACCATGCTGACCACCTTGGCACAGTGAACCGTGCTGAACCTCACATTTGCCCTCCACTGGGAGCTGTTACGCTCAGCTGAGGAGGGCAAGAGCCTCAGGGATCCCCCAAACCCACACTCCTTTCCCAGCTGCATTGGGGGGCCCTGGCTGACCCCAGATGTCCCCACACCCAGGAGCCCCATCCTGTGTGAGGCTGATGCTTAGATGTAAGGAACACAGCAGTTAGGCCTCAGGCCAGGGGCCAGGGACCCAAGTCCAACCTCGCTGGCTGGGTTCTGGTGCTGCTTCCTCAGCCTCTCTGGTCTCCCTGTCTCCATCTGTGAAACAGGCAGAAGCTGTGTCCTTCTGGAGCCGCGGAAGGGACTGAACTGCACGGCCATGCAAGGTGTCTCGGGACACCATCAGTCAGCCTGCAGAGCCTGGGACACCTAAAGGTGGGCTGGTTAACTTTGGCTCATGGTTGCAGAGGGCTCAGTCCACAGTCGGTTGCTCCAAGGCACGAGCAGCGTGGTGGAAGGGCCTGGCGGAGGAGAGCTGCTCAGTTCATGGCCGTCAGGAAACAGCAGGATGGGAAAAGCCAGAGGGGAAGGGGCGAGGACAGCGTGTGTCCTCCACAGCCAGGCCCAGTGCGCGCTCATCCACTTAGCCCCGCCTCCCAGTTAGCTGGGCCACTAAGGAGCCTGGATGGATGGATCCACTCGATGTAGTTGGGGTCCCAGGACTCAACCCCTCTTCCCAGACCCGGACCAGGAACACTTGAGCCTTCGGGCACCCAGAGTCTGAGCCCTGGCACTGCCTGTGCTCAGAAGCAGGGAGAATCAGGTCAGAATCGTGTGCTGGCTGCTTGCGGTGCAGGCGGGCTCGGTGCCCTCTCGGCTGTGCCGTCCTGGCGCACAGTGGGCCCGCAGCGCACCCGGACCCGCGGCTGCACAGTGCCCTTGGTGCTGTGGCCTGGGACGGCCGGAGGCTCGCTGGGTGGTCAGAACCCGGGAACACAGCCCAGCGTGGGGGCCGGGCCTCTCCTGCTTGGCTGCGCTGGCGCCGGGCAGTCCCCACCTGGCCCCGTCCGTCTCACCGCTCGGCCCGGTGTTTGCTCTGTGCTCACAGGAACAGCGTGTGGCAGGGGAAGGGAGGTGGCCCCAGGCCCAGACCGACCCTGCCACAGGCCCA